TCATGTAGACTCCACCTATGTAGATCTACAAAAAAGATTATTAGGTTATTGCTGGTATTTCAAATACAACATCGTGTACGGGGGTGTTCAAGAGCCTCGACATTCTTACCCTTGTCTATCTCTAGATTTATGAGATCGGTACTTACATCTACGAGTATAAACACAGAATAAGGTGCAATAGATGGTAGTGAGGATTTATAACCACCTACCAAAATCAGTTAGAGATGGCATGACTATACCACTTTTCGGGAGATGTCTTAAAGATGTTTTAGTTTCTCACCCGTATTCTATCCTTTTTTTCAGAACAAATTACAAACATGTTTGTAACTATCGACCCGACAGTTTTTTTTTGAGCATCTTGTTTTATGCCATTTCATCGTTTTGTTTTATTCTTGTGTGTGTGACAATTTCCTACAATGTTGTACAACCAAATGGAGAATAAAATTGAAACTCGAATCTGGAATCTTGAATCTTGAATCTTGAATCTTGAATCTTGAATCTTGAATCTTGAATCTTGAATCTTGAATCTTGAATCTTGAATCTTGAATCTTGAATCTCGAATCTCGAATCTCGAATCTAGAATCTCGAATCTCGAATCTCGAATCTAGAATCTCGTATCTCGTATCTCGGATCTCGGATCTCGAATCTCGAATCTTGAATCTTGAGTCTTGTGTCTTGAATCTTGAAGGAGGATCCTATACATAATTACACTTATGAAAGGACTTGTGTTTCCAAACAAGTTCAACATGCCTCTGGGCTTCACCTACTTTCCAATATACTGAGAAAGTATGCCCATATGAAAGAAATACACAATAGATACTCCAGAAACACACTTACTCCATTCCAGCTCAGCACTTCCCGGTGGAGCAAAAAGCAAAGTGCGCCATATAGTTTTCAAGACACGGTTGCCGTGAGTTCTTCATAAAACACGTTCAAAAACTTTTGCCGGATAAGCTTCGAAAGAATCACTTCTCAATTTTCAACTTTATAGTGTTTCTGGCGAAAAGTTTCGAACAGCCAAACCACGCCTGAAGCTCTCTGAATTAAAAAGCGATTATAGTTATTCTGTTAAGTTTTAAACCGGGTGGAAAAGTCGCTCGCTAAAAGTCTGGATGGAATGCACGTGCACGGCATAAAAAGGCAAGAGATCACGTCCACGTTTATGACCGTTAAACGGTGAGTTGAAACAGCCTGCTCTATAAGTCCAGAACTGTCATTGTGCTGCCTATACAAATATTTTGTATATCAATCGAGTGTCGTTTGTGTCTTACGCCAGAGGGAGAGTATGACTGCGATGACACAAATTTAAAACAACTAAAATTTGAGGATAACGCAAAAGTCAGAAAACTTTCATCCTGTGGTCTGTCCGAGAAGCTTTGCAGATGAGTGCCTGATTTTCTTTCCTACCACAAGATATCTGTCGTAGTCAACAAATTCAGACTAGGCCTCCTTTAACTCAATAGCGTTGTAAGCGCATACGAAGCTTATGAGAATTCTGTGATATTGAATACAGGTGGTGAAACTCACGGGTTTACGCAACAAAGAATACCTGATTGACGACCATTCCGTTGTAGTTTTTTTTGCTTCCCTGGTATTTCGGTCAATTCGTGATCAACGAATATTCTCACATTTCCTTTTACGTTGTGGTATATTTTACACTAAACCCTCTTCAGGAATTTAATGATCCTACATCACCAGCTAGGTAATGGCTAAAACTACATAAACCTCTAAAACAGTTACAGTAGAAGTACAGACCGCACAATTCACACTATTTGCGTGGTTCTTAAAAGTATAACGATTGCTATCTCAGATAGTAAACAGGATTTGACTCAAATGCATGCAATATACTGTAGAATATAGAGAAGTATATTAAACTTATTTATAATGGAGTTTTGTCAACAATCTTCCATTTAACGGATTCAATTACATAAAAAAACCTCTTAGGTTTATGGTGTCAAGTTGTATCGAATATGAGACCACTTCCGAGAGGGCAATTATTAAGCATAACAAATAGGTTTTTAAATTCATATATTATCGCCAAGATAACGTTATTCATATCATACAGTATCTCATATCTTCTTGATAATCATTAATGGAGCTAGTCTTCTACCACCGCTGAACAGTGCAGTTCACTGAAAAGTAATAGAAGCTACCTAGGAACACGCGATATCCTTTACCTGCGGAGGGTCCGATCCGAATAAAGCAGCATGATGGAGGTCGTCGACGACGCGCGACGATGTAATGATACCAAAGTGGAAACATTTTTTCCGAATATTATGCGCCATCGCCAGAGCCGATTATTAAAAAAAGATATATCCAAAATCCAGGTCTGGCGAATAGTAAAGATACCAGAACGTACGAAAATTGACCCAGATTCACCTAGTGCATTTCAATTTTCTAAGTCAACGTATACGGATTCTCAAGTTAGAACAATAAGCATACCAGAATGTGACAATTTGACTTGGATCCTATGCATGCTGCATATGTAAATACCATATGCCCGGGGGCAGGTATAGAGTCAATCTACTTGACACCATATTTTTCTCAAAAAGTTTCGTTCAATGTCATGTAGACAGTGAGTAAATCTGCTGAGCGTATTTATAATTCTATCGATACGCCTATCTCAATGTTCTGCCTTGCTAAAGTACAAAAAGTAGAAATTTTTCTTACGAAAATTATATTATAAATAAATAAATACCCAATACGTAAACAATGTAATCTATGCGTGTACAATCTGAAGAATACGTATACAATGGTGTATACTACGATAGAAAATATATGGCTGAGCGCGCTAAAAACAAGTAATTAGTGAAACAGGGTTCATTTTGCTCCAGGACCGAAAAATATATTCGATTGAGTGCTCTATCTGTAAAAAAATCTCTAAATAAGTTACAGGCCTCTTGAAATGCCACAGCTAAGTTAACTTTTGTAGCATCTTAATCTGCGGCCATCTATACGCTGTTTTACCAATTTCTACTAGCCTAATATTTATAATTTACACACTCAAGCTACTGACAGCTTTGACAAAGTTAAATCACGGTAACCTTTCTTCCAGACATTGTATGGAATAAATGTAACAAAAACTATTGTATTTTTGAGTGCAGTGTAAACACATCATCTTAAATAACTGCTTCTAATTTCCGCTAAAATCGGCACAGTTAGACAGCGTGTTTTTAAGCTTGTCATTTATTCATGCGCCAATACGAAGCTAGTTGAGAAATGATACACTTAAAAGTAGATGAATGTGTATTATCCCTTGCAATTGACCGATAACGGCCCTGTCAAAGTATTGACGATGTTGACGTTGCTGAATAAAATCACTTAAATGGCTGGATTTTGTTTTCAGATTGTATTTTATTCTCGGAATCCACACCGTTCTCATTGTCTACATGAATACAATTCTGTACTTCAGAGCGAGACTAGATTAAGCCGAAATAACTACTTAATTTTGAGATAATTGTATTTGAAACATTCTTCTTGTATTGTATTGTCTACTACTTGTCATCAGTTAAAAGCCGTAGCTTCCTGATTATTACAGATGGACGCTGCATATAGCAAATGAAATTTCACAACATTATCATAAGTTAACATACTAAACACGTTTTTGACAAAAACGGACTTCCGAGTAACCTAGTCTGGCACTCAAATAGAGAAGAGCAGATCAGGCCTACAGACTCAGTCAGTTGGTCTGGAGCAGAGCTGCTAGCTTTCTAAGCGGTGAAAGAAAAAACAATTTTTCTAGTGATGTTCTGAGACGCAAAAAAAGCACACCCACTAGAGCAAAAAACGGGTACCTCATTAAGTATACAGCGTATAACTTAGTTGATGGGCTGAAATACAGGATATGATTCCCTAGCTCATTTTATGAAGAAAAGTTTATATAAATATTTACCCCAAAACTCAAAATTTTTGGGCAACAGTTTAAAAAAAATCGTCGGGGATGCACGTCTTTTATACAGAGAAGACATGTGGTACATGCATGATGGTGCTCCTGTACATTTTAGCATTCGTGCTAGACAATTTCTAAATGAAGGGTTCACGAATCGCTGGATAGGACGTGAGGGAACTCAATCTCAACCTCAAGAGTTAAGCTTATACTACACCGCTTTAAACTGTAAACGAATTAATTCAGAAAATTTTAGTTACTTCTCAAACCATAAGAAATAGTCCTGAAATTTTTGAAAGAGTATTCTAGCAGGAGGACATTTTCAACAATTCTTGTGATAATTAAATTAAATAGTGTTAGTTCTAAATCGCTAAAATCTCATCCAAAGTGGTTTTTATTTTTTATGCGAAACCGGTGCATACCACAAAAAAAGGCAAGAGGTCAAATCTGTTGAAAAATAAATAGAGGTTTTTTATATCCAGTTTACACCCCGTACGGACGCCACTGGTAGAAATATTAAAAAACATCCTACATCAAAAAATGCCTGTTGGTGTTTAGTAGGTACATGTCAAATTTCACGAATAAATCTAGAACCGTATTAAAGTTGTGATAAGAAAACAACTTCTTTCTTAAAACTTCCTAAAATGAGCTAAGAAGTCATATCCGGTATTTTTAGGCATCAATTGAATTATACCCTGTACTTTACTCAAGCGGAAGCCAGCGGGCCATATGCCCCTCGCCTCTCCAATGGGCGCTCATGCTAATAGACATCCTACCGAACCTCCAAAGTAAGAGCTGCTGCTCTGCCTTTTCCGAATATCGTAATTTTCATGCCCGCAACTTCCATTTTCCAAAGTTCGACTGGTCGTTAAGATATGTGACTGGAAGAGGAGAAGATATCCCGGAGAGATGAGAGCAGCAAACCACAAAGGCCCATCCCAATACTTTACGGCGAATGCACGCCCTTTCCACCAAAGGCACAAGCACTCTCAGCTTTTCTACCCGACATTTCAAAGTGGACTTTATATGTTTTGGTCGAGTGTTCGTTCTTCCGTTATAACTTCACAACTACGCTTTCATAGCTTTGTCGATGCTTTTTTTCTTTTGCTGTAAGATCGTCGTAACGAGGTCCAGCAGAAAGTACCAGTAGGGTCAAGTGGAGCTCAGCTAAGATGTGACTACGTGGACATTATGGGAGGTGACGTATGTGGGAATTATTTATTGATGATTACAAAAGGCTGAATCTATAAATACTAATACATCACGATAAGTCCTATCTGTCCGTCCGTCTGTCTGTCTGCTTGTCTTTGAATACTATGATTATGTATCAGCCCCACAAAGATTGTGAAGAGGGGGAGTAGCAAATTTTTTCAGATGGGGTTTAATTTCCTATATGATATAAAATAGTACAAAACTAAGTTTTAGGAGGTAGTAAGATTCCAGTTGCTGCAGTTGAAGACTAACTCTATGGGCCTATTGACTGACTTGATCCAATGAACTCCTATGTTGTATATGTTTATAGTTAGTTCTTATTAAGAGAGACTAGATTATGACGAAAATAATATTTTATAAACTGATAGCTTTGCGTTGAAAGTGTAGGGTGAACCTACTTCATGCAATATATATACAGTACCCAGACATACACAAAGAAGTAGAAGATAGTCTTGTCAGTCTCGAACTGCCCAAGGTTGACTCCACGTAGAGACAGCTACTTTTGATATAGTATCGCTAATTTATGATACTTAAAGGACAACAACAACAAACATACTTGCTACTTGCATACTCTGTTATCTGGACCACCGCTCGATGCCCGAAAAATCGAATGTGCAGATCAATTTTCTTACTCAGAATCATGGCTCAAGATGTTTTAGCATTTTTTGTTATAGCGGAGTGACATAAGACATAAAAATATCAATCCCCGGAGCCCGGTTGCTCTACACAGATTTTTGTAGGTCATTTTTGATTGCAGCTCATAACGATGACGAGAAAATGTACTTGTCGCTGGGCACTTTAATCTCGGCCAGTCAGATGTGAATGAATTGATTATGGCAAGCGTATAGCTGAGCGAGTTCTGAGTGCACTCGGTGGTAGCGGAGGTATCGGAGTGAGACCTTCAGTACCTAGCAGAGATTCAAACACATCTGTGCGCTTTATACTCTTATCTGCGTGATTCTCGCATTTCTGCGTTTAATAATTCTCAGTTATCAATCAGATTCTGCTTAAGTTATATGCTACATTATTGTTCCAAGGATGCATATTGTTGTGAAACACAGGGTCATAAAGAATGCGTATCTCTAACGCTTAGCTCACTGACAAAGCGTATGTAGCAATAATGTCGGAAGATTAATACTTTTACTGCACAATAAACCTCAGCTTGGCCTTTCCCTACTTGAAGCACTTGATTTAACAGCCAGGCTTTTATCATGGAGTCGTTTATGTCCGAGTAATGTCGTATTAACCACATTGTTACTAAAATATGTATGCATAAAACTTGCGCTAAGCTAGTAGCGAAAATTTTAGTACGACCTACTAACTAAATGATAATGTATTTCACAGTCAAACCAGTACAAGTTGCTTTTTATGTTATCACAAGTATTACAAGCATAAATATAGTTTGTACGTTCAATATAATGAACATAAAACCTTCCGCGATTCAAAAGTTAATAGGTAATGTTCAATTGGAGATAAGCTCAGGCGGATCGTGGTGGCCAAGGTAAAACGGTTAGTGCGATGTTGATTCATGAAGGCTAGCGATGCTCTGGCAACATGCGGCTGGCATTAGTGGCATTGTCTTGTTAAAAAATTGGTTTCTTTATGTGGTTTGGTATGGAATAAGATGAGGCTCCACTACTCCCTGAATATAGCGTCGAGCTGTCATATTGCCTCTGACGAAAATTAGTGGTGATTTGCTACCATAAGCGATAGCACCCCATAGCGTGATGGTGACGTGACGCCACGTCTTTTACCACGTCGCCTTCTACCCTTGCCTGACCATCGTGCATCCCCAGACAGAAGCGGAATTCATCACCAAAGACCTCCTGCTTCCATTCCCAGTCCCATAGAATTCTTTCCTCTACACCAGAGCAAACGGTTACGCCGATGTTCAGCTGTGAAGATAGCAACCAATGTGGGCGATAAGAAAAAAGGCAAAATTGTCATATCGGCGATATACCGTACGCATACTAATCATCCTTCCATGCTCTTCAAACCACTCATTAGCGATGGCTCGAGTACTACTAAATCTGTCTCTCAGAGTCAGAACTCTTAACCGGCGGTCTTGTCGCTCTGTGGTCCCTCTGGACGTCTAGAACCCGTCGCTCCCTGTCCTCGGCCTTCCTGATTTTCTAGGCATTTTGAGCAATCACAAAAGGCTTCTTAATAAGCTACACGAAATTTAACATTCAACTGACATCGTAAATGGACGAAAACTGAATGCTTCTTTATCACCAAACGAAACACGCAGCCACCTCAAAAACTTAACAGAAAAACCTGACCATTTTATTACTTGTTGTTAATGGCGAGATAAATCGATATGTAAGAAATTCTTGAACTCTAATAAACATACGTAGGTGTTTACCTTTTTTGTCACTAAGTATATCCAGGATATAAGGTCGATTCTGGCAATAGACGGCTCTTTGTGACGATAGGACGTATATCCTGGATAGAGGATAGTTCCTCAGGTTTTTTCGTTATCGTACCTGATACCAAGCCTAGATCAGGATGATGATCTGCCAAATAGCACCAAAAAGCTGTTCGTTTTGTTATATTTATCTCCAATTACTAGCCTATTTACCCTCCTCAAAAGTAATTATACACTAAGGGTGGATTTCTCCTAGGTTGACAAATTAACAATCCGTTATTCTCCACCTATGTTATGTATAGGTAACAGTCGTCAAATACAGCGAATGAGGTTCAACATCCAATCAACACATTTCCGCAACCAATAGCTATGAAATGTTGAAACAAAATATTGTCAAAGTATGAGATGCCAGCTTGTCCTTGAAACATTACCAGCTTATTGAATATTAACCCTTAATTACTCGCATGGGGTCAAAGCAGTTTCGCATTCAAAAACGAAGGATTTCCCGCGGTCCTAATTCCTCCCGCGCCCCCGCTAGCTTGAGACCGCGCGTCGACGTTTGTGTTTTAGTAGCGACGATGTCACAGGAGTCTAAGGACACGTCGTTGCGCTTTTGACCCCGTGCGACTAATTACGTTACTTTTTTGAAAAAGGTAAGTTGCTTATTTTATGTATTTTTTGTTTTGTTTTATTGATCCGATTTGTATTATTGAATGTCCAGTTTATAAATTTATTTAATAATATGTTTTGTGTAGTTTTATAAAATGAAAGTACCGAAAAATTACGTTTTACTATGAGTTTTGTATCTGTTTCCAGAATTCGTCATGGATACAAGAGAACTGGTTGGTTGAGGCTTCTGATGAAGAACAAGTTGGAGGGTCAAATTCTGAGTCGGAGTTAGACGAGATAACACAAAGTGATATAATAGTGCTAGTGAAATCGACGAATTGTCCGCACACTCCAGTGAGTCTTCAGACAACGCGGACGACGGCTGTGCAGGGCAGTATAATACATTCTATTTTACCAGACATAATGGCAGAAACGGTCCTAAACAAAAATGGTCAAAGTCTCCACCAACAAGCTCCGCAAGAACACGACAGACATAATATAACTTTACACTTACCCGGTGTCAAGTCATCAGCGAAATCCGCAAAGACTGCTTGGAATGTTTTAGTTTGTTTTTTTTGATGACATTATCAATTTGCTGGTTAAATGTACAAATCAGTACATCGAAGTCGTCAGAGGCAAGTTTCAAAGATACAGACGTTGAAGAAATAAAAACATTGCTGGGTTTGTTGATCATGTCTGGAGTGTTGAGAGCTTCACATCTCAATTTCAGCTAGATCTCTGGGCCACCGACGAAACCGGTGTAGAGATGTTTCATTGGAACACTGAAGAAAAACAAACCCGATATACGTGACTAGATTTTACCAGACAGAAGTCAATTCAGCTGTCTGTTCGGATTTCAAAAGACTCTCACCATGGTTTCAAATGTGCCAAAACCAAATCAAGCTGTTGTGTTGTTATCCTCCATGCACCATGGAGCTTAGATCACTCAGACATATACTGTCAACATGCAAGAAAAGTGATTCGGATAGTTTCCTAACATAATCATAAAAATTTGCCTTGATCTCTTGATATAAGTACAAATTGTTAATTTTCAACTATATTTTATAAGCTCAATTTTTTTCATTAGATAGTAATTCATGTTATTTCTCTTAAATATCATAAGATAAATAAAGAACTTTAATAATAAAATAGTTTTGATTCATTTTATATTAATATATTTAAAAAAATTCCTACAACTTGGGGTCACCTGTGACCCCATGCGAGCAGTTATGTAATGTTCTCATGCGAGTCATTAAGGGTTAAGAGTTACATATAATTCAGTCAAAATTTAAAGAATGTTTGATTTTGATAAAATTCATGTTTTAATTACTATTGTTGGATTTTTTATTCATATTTTATTCTCTTCAACTCATATGCTATTTAACTGATTTAACATCACCTCTTGTGTTTTATTTTTCTATAAACCTCTTGCAGATAGCCCTTAAACACCCACTTGATGACAGACTAACCAAAAACTTCATAGATATTGCTTGTTTCCAAACAGTCATTCATTTACTTGCCGTTCATCAGAACCATTATGGCACCCGCAAATGGCATCTAGATTGATATTTCCACAAAACCATTAAGGTTTTTTGATATCCATACATCCATAGTCAAAAATCTTCTGGTTGTTCAGGAACTGAACAAACATGCACATTATATTTATAGCGATTAAGAAATACTCAAATATGTTATATGTCGTAAAGCGACCAGCAAATTTAAAACCTGCAGAAAAATAGAATTTGCAATAACTTTCTTGTTTCACACAAGTACACATTCTAGGTTATATTTATATTAGACCACAAATCATACACTAAAGAAGGTTTAATTCCATGCGATTCAATGGCAATACGGTGACTTGTGTGGTGTCAGCGGGCCATTTTTGAGGGTGCGACACTGTTGCCTGATTGTGCATTAACCCGCAACGTTGCCAGCTCTACAAATAAATCTGAGATCGCTATACTTTTATATAAAGAAATTTAGTGGGATATGGGAGATTTTATAAAGCATGTGTTATTAACATCTTGACGAATAAGTGCATATAGTGCAAACACCTAAATATGTATTTATTATATAAATCTTTTTCTACAAGTATCAGTTTAACATTATTATGGTCCAGATGCTTTCGTTCCCCAGCCTTTGTTGGCACCTGCATAAATCAAAAATTAGGAAAAAATTTAACTGTGTTGATGT